TTCCTTCCTTCCTTCCTTCCTTCCTTCCTTCCTTCCTTCCTTCCTTCCTTCCTTCCTTCTTTTCTCTTTTCTTTTTTTAGGACCCTAAAGTTATAACTGTGTCTCTATCTTTTATCTAGTTTGAAGAAGAATTTCTTGAAACAAGAGAGCAGTATGAGAAGTTGCAGAAGGGTGAGCCTAGATTTATTTGTCATTTGCACTGTCTTTTTGGCTTTTATTTGTAAAAGCTTATCAAGTAGATTATGACCCTGCCTCAATTAGAGATGATAGCATTGGTTGACCCAGTGCTAATTGGTTCAAAACTCCTCATCCCACTGAAGACTCCTTTAATAATTCTTAAATAATGATCCAATGGGTTGGAGGGGAGGGAACAAAAGGGAAGGGGACTTTGACCTAAGGTATTCTCTAGTTCTCTTGGTTTGTATCCACTTGTTCTTGGTGGTTTTAACAAATTAACAGAAACCATTTTAATAGGTCACAATTTTAGAATCAAGATTGTAGAAAAGATCCAAGAAGATGTCTTTAAGCCTTATGATTCGCCAGAAAAACTTCTCACACTGAGAGAAAAGACTGGTACTTTCACAGTACTTCTTAAACTACTAACATCCATAACTTTATTTTCCTCATCTAAGGAAACTCGGGTGTCCCATTGTTGCTGATAAACAGTCATGAAATTAACACAATCTTTTTTTTAAGGAAAATATTCACTTAGTACTCAGCAGACATACCATTTACAAACTGTATGACTTTGGGCAAGGCCTTCAACTTCTCTGCATCCTCTTTTTTCCAAATATTTTAAAATTAAAATACAGTTGACATAAGCATCCTCTTTACCATAAAATAAAAATAATCTATGGTTGTAAATTGCACTGTACCAGTAGCTCTTATTGAGTGGGTAAGGCTCACTTACTCCTTTCCCAATTCTTGTCCAGGAACTTTATTATCTGGAATCCTCCCAAAGCTCCCTCCACTTTCTCTTTATTTCTGCCCAAAGACAGTCACTGGTACACAGTAAGGGTTAAATGCATACCTATTGAATAAATAAATGAATGTATCTCCATAAACTTTTCCATGATCATTGTGGCAGGAGTGCTCCCTCAGAGCCTCTGAAATCCTCCAGCCCTTCTTGAGTCAGTGATGCTGCTAGTTGCTTGGGCCACCCTCCTGGGCATGACTGCTATTTGTGAACAAAGGCAGAGAGGGACAGCAGAGAGATCACTGGGCTGGCAACCAGGAGGCTTATTTCTGCTGGCTTAGCTGTCCCCAGACAGTGAGTTTGGGCAAGTCAAGTTTGCCTCTCTTGGCCTCCACCATGCCATCATCTTTAATATACATGAATTGAACTGAATGATCTCAAACGTCCTTTCCTTGATCTGAGATTTTTAAAACTCCTTCTGAAGAAGATCATCAACTCCTGGTTCTACGGGGATCATTTCTAATGCATGTTTGCGTCACTTATAAGCAGCAAGGCCCAGCTTTAGATGATCCGGTCAATATTGAACAAATGTAAAACTTTTAGGAAATGGAGGTTTTGCAGTCTCTCCATTAATAACAGTACTGATATTTCCAAAGCATGACTACAAGCATGATCTTATTCCTACTTAAAGAAACTCAGTGAGGTGGGCAGGACAAATACTGTTATAGGTCAGAAAATAAGCTCAGACACTTGCCTAACGTCATCCAGCTAAACAGGGACACTGGCTTCCTGAAAAGCTGTTACTGGTTCCAGGGGCGACGTTCTCCCCACCGTCTTCTACTGCCTCTCACTAAGTAGGAAAGGTAGTGGAAGTTGGAGAAATTAATTGTGGCCTTTGCCAATGTGCTAGTGAAATCTGATTCCGAGTTTCCACTTTCCCTTCCCAGGCTTTGGGGATCTGGGATGTTTTCGTTTCCCTTTTTCGATAAGGATATTTAAAAGAGCGACTGTCTGAAAAGACAGAAGCCATCTTAGGGGTTTCCTGCATTTGGACTAAAACTTTAATAAGGATTCCAAAACAAATAACATGTATAATTATTCCGACAAAACAACTGGAATAAACTAAGTGCAATGAAAAGATACAGCGTTTCTGTTCCGACTTTTTATAAAAGCTAGCAGCCCAAGGCGTCGCCATCTCGAATACATTGTCAGGTATTTCTTCCAAGTTTAATACTGTAGGCTAATCATGTCTCAATCAAAAGGCAAGTCTCTCAAAATTACAACTTTTCTGAAGTCATTATGGAGTGACTACTAATTACAAACGTCTTCTCAGTACATCTGGTATGATTCCACACCAAGAGGTCAGCATACCAGGTGGTAAGAAAGACCCGTTAGCATAGGTTCCATAAATAAAGGTTTAAAAGACAAAGTAATTCTGTAGTATTTCTCCTTAGTCTTAGCCTTGGAAAAGAATAGTTTACTAATGACTAAACTATAATGAAGAGTTCTGTCAGAACCTCAGAGTACTAGACAAAGCAAGTTCCTATCTATTCCAGAACAATGTACAGTGACGTTGAAATACCTTTCATTAAAACAACAACAACAATAACAACAACAACAACAACAAACTAGTATGATTGAGTTACAGCGTTAACTGTGCTTTGTCATACTACAGATTTTTAAATCCGTGTGGCCTAATCCAGGACTTCGCAAAACATTTAAAATAATTCATTTGCTCAAATTAGGATCAAACTAAAATTCATTCGTTGTAATTAGTCAATTATATATTTTAAGTCCCTTTCGATAGCTAAGATCACTCTTTACTCTTGCTTTCTCTCTTTCTCTCTCTTTTTTTTACTTTTGCATTTGTCTTGCGGAGTGTCTCACAGTCTGTATTTTACTGATTTCAACATACTCCTTTATTCTCTAGATTTCCTGCCAATTGGAAGTTAGAATTTGAAGCTTGATCAGGTTGGGGGTTGATGTATTTTGGCCGGACTACTTCATAAATAGTATTGTGTAGGTCATTAGGAGGCACGTATTATCTGCTGTCACTTTTCTTATAACTAAATGTGATTGGTGATCAATGCCTAGACCCACTGATTTATTAGTGGATACATAATTTTGATATCCTAATCCTGTCAGTCTCTCTTCGTTTACTAGCTAGAATACTTTTCATAAAATGAATCTTCCCCATGTTGTGGAAAAGTTGCAAAAACTCAGACCAGCGAGAAATCAAGCAGCACCAGGAGGTTTGGAGTAACTCAATTTTATTATGCTGGCGGTCCCAGACCAGAAGAGCTAGTGCTCTGAAAATCTGGGCCCCGAGCTTAGGGGCAATTTTATTTTTATACTGACGTTGTTACAGTTGGCATGGGCTGATTTACAGATCCCTGAAATTGCTATGGGCTACGGGCAGTTACAGATCGTAGGATTTTCTATCTAACAAGCACTAAAGCAATACATCTTTAGGGGAGGATGAGTTCTTAGTTGACACCGAGATCTCTGGCCTTGCAACAAGCATGTTTACAGAAGCAGAAAAGAGCGGATTAGAAATGTTGGCCAATTAAGAGGGAAATTTCTCTTCACCCTCATATTTGGTTGCTCTGAGGTATGATTTTCATGGGGAAGTAGGATAAATGCTACTTTCTTTTCATTCAACAGGTTCAGGCTTCTGGTATCCCATTAGTAACTTATTTGTACTTGTGGTACAGTAGCCACATTCTAGTTAATCACGACTTTTGTGTCCCTCTATGCCAGTGGGTACAGTTTTACTTCACCAGCTCCAGGCTCATAACAAGGAGCTCTGTTCTAGCACTTCGCAACCCAGGATGTCTTGATAATCACTGACAAACTTCTAAAAAGATTATGCCAATATACAGCAATGTGTAAGAGTGTTGGTTTCATCCTATCCTTGTAGCATTCTTGGAGATTATCACAAAAAACATTCTTTAGGAAATTTGATCTGTACAGATTTTATGCTTTGTAAATGTTTAGTCAAGCAAAATAGTCTTTCTTTTTATTTAATATTCTTTGTTATCTTTCTTTCTGTAGATTTTGAAAGACCATGGAGAGGATTTTCTCGTTGGCAATAAATTCAGTTGGGCAGACATACAACTGTTGGAAACTATTTTAATGGTCGAAGAACTTAATGCTTCTGTTCTTTCAGACTTCCCTCTGCTAAAGGTAGTGTGTTAACATCCACACAAAGCCCAGGAAAAAATGAATCGAAACAAAGACTGAAATAAAATGTGCCTTGAGGTCAATCTCAAAAGAAACTCAAGAAGACTTTTTTAACAAATCATTATTTTATCCATTTTGTTGATTTCCCCCTACTCACATTCTAGGATTTTTAGGAAATAAAATCTTATGAAGGGAGAAAGACTACGTTATTTCAGTTTCTAGCATAAACATTTAGTGTTTTTCATTTTTGTAGTACTTTCCTTCTTTATCTTTCTTTTTTTTTTTTTTTGTACTTCATGTGTTTTTTTCTTGATGAAGCAAGGCTGACAAGTCTATCTTTGTTGCGTGCCTCTCTAGCTCCTACCAGACAACTCTGTTCCCCTTTAGTCTCCATGATTCCAGGGCCCTCATGAAGTCCCATGATTGCTCAGAGCCGCTGCCTAGGTGGCACTGCTTATCACCTGCCACATCTTCTCAGTCCTCAGATCTCTCTTTGAATCCTGCCACCACCAGACCTAATGGGCCTCTATTCCAATTCGTTAGAAACAGTTTAATAGGTGACTATAGGTTTTATAGTGTAAAAACAACATTTTTTTCTCATTACAAAAGAAATGCAAGTTTGTGTAGTTACATTATACATTTGTATAGACCAAAATAAAAAAAAAGATCTAACAACCAAATGTTACTGCATTAGATATTCTTTTACATTTTTCTCCCCAAATAGAATCTTACTCAATATTGTTTCGTGACCTGCTTTTAATAGTTTTTTAAATGATCATAAACGTATTTACATGTCAAGAAATATTCTTCTGCAATAGCACTTTATTTTCATTAGGCAATGGAGTCACATCTTTTTGAAAAATCAGAACTGTATAAAAAGGGCATAGATTATGAAATCTCCCACTACTGCCCTCCCACTTTCTGCTCCCATAATCACTTTTATTTGTTTTCTGTACTTCCCACCCTTCCCATTTATGCAGATACATGCAAAAATGAGTATTTATCCCCTCCCCCTCCCCCGCTTTTTTTTCTTACACAAAGCCTTGGGCTTTTATTTTTCCCTAAGCAACATGTTCTAGAGATTTCCCCCTATTAATATAGAGACTTTCCTCTTTCTTTTTACATATAATATAATTTTAAATTGCTGATTTACACATTTCTCGTAAGGATGTACCATAATTTACAAAAATGATTTTTTTTGAAACATAGGTTATTTCTAATTTTTCACTGTGATAACATTATTATACTTATTTCTTTGCTAACACTCTTACTTATTTCCTTATAATAAATTCCTAGAACAGGAATTGATAGGTCGAAGGATATAAATTTTTTGAGTTTTTAATATATACTTCCTAATTGTGACAGTGATTTTTTATTAAAATAATTTAACTCATGCCACACACACCTGCAATTATAATGCCCATCCCAGGAACACCTGGCAAACATACATGAGAGATAACTCAGATACAACACTCTGGGCTCCACAAAGCTGCTAGTGTAAGCACCCTCTTCTCATGACAAACTTTTGAATTTTCTTAAAGGTTGTCACTGCTATCAAGGCCTCAATTTTACTGTTTCTCATTTCAGGCATTTAAAACAAGAATCAGCAACATCCCTACAATTAAGAAGTTCCTACAGCTGGGAAGTCAAAAGAAGCTGCCCCCGGATAGCCACTATGTCGAAGTAGTCAGGAACATTCTGCAGTTCTAATAGCAGCAAGTCTAAACGATGGCAGTCATGATCCACACGGTGTTGGCCGTGCCGATGGAGTCTAACTATAGATTCTAGGTATAAAGTCTCTGAAAAGAACAAAACCTTACTGCCATCAACAGCAAATGACAATTAAATGCACTATGAAAACAATCTGCTATGTGAAAATTTTTAAGTTTGTCAATTGTGGATGAAGGTTATAACTTTTTTTTAAAATCAGTTTATAAATAGGAGGCTGATATGTTAAGGGCAGTGGCCTACATGAGGCACTGTTCTTGCTGTTGGTTTTTAGATTGGGACCACTGGGGGAAGAGTGAACAGAGCTTTGAGAGGGTAAGAAGGAGGATCTCTCCAACACCCACCCTGATGCTGAGTACTTGGAAATAGAAAAAAAAAGTGTCAAATGACAAATTGGCAGGATGATGACTAATGCTAGTGTAGGGGACAAAGAATGTCCTGGGAACACCATTCTAAGACCTTGAAAAAAAATTGGACAATTAGACACCACGATTCCCCTAACATAGCCACCAAGACTGGGTTTTGCTTTGGTGAAACAATTCCAAGTAACACTGAGAGTAAGATATAACTGATGAATATTTATACAAATTGACCCAAAGATTCCCTGACCTGACATACTTTAAGGATAACTATTGTGTTCCCAAGTTGTGTAATTTGGAGCTCCACCCCACATCAGGGCTATACTTGGTTGTAGATGGAGGGGCTGACTTCGTGATGGGACGAGTATTCAGGGTGACACTGCAGGCACAGCTGTGGCTCCTGGTGGGTGGTCCCTGCTCTGGAGCAGGGCTCCTGCCAATAGCTTATGGCACACAATTCTACCAGCTCTAAACTGTTGCTGGATGTCTCGCCCAGGCTGCACCCTGGATCGGTGTCTGAGTGTGTATCCATGTACACGTTCTTACTTATGAAATGACTTAATATCTCACCGGCCTTTATGCCATTTCCTCAGGGCCACCATGAGGCATGACTTTCCTACACCACACCCAGCCCCGTCCATTCCTCCTTCCCTCCTCAGATGTTGGATTACTCGAGTTATCATAACTTCGGCCATTCAGCACCCTGTGCCCCAGCCCACATGGGGCCCGAGCTCCTGTTCCCAGTGTGGTCAAAGCCCAGCCTATGGATTCCACTTAGCTAATCGCCTCATCTCATTCCCCACCCTGACAGAGCCATGGCCAACTAACATGTGATGCCAATGACAGAGGGGGAAAAAAGGCTTCTCAGTCTCCGGCCATGCCAACCATCTGATCCCATCCGATCTCGGAAGCTAAGCAGGGTCGGGCCTGGTTAGTACTTGGATAGGAGACCACCTAGGAAGACCACGTGCTGTAGGCATAAAAAATAAATAAGAGATTATTAGCTGACAAGGTCCTTGCAATCTGTGTGGTCAACCAAGGGTTGCCTTGCTTAAAAAAATATATGTACATATATATATTGTGCATATTTGGATATGGTGATTTTAGAAACATTTTAAATCTCTCAAAGCATTTATTGTTTTTCATTTTGGCAAATTATAAACATGCCATTAACAATTTCCCCCAAATTGTGTCAGTGCACAGAAGCAAACTTATCCTCATCTTCTGTAAACTAAATCAGTGGCTCAGGCCAGAAATATTTGCCTAATAGTTTAGTTCAGTAAATCTGACTGGGGATTCTGACAGGTTCTGTGCCAGTTGCGATGGGAGGCTCCCTATACAGTCAGTGCCACTCTTTAAAATTTAATTTACATCATTAATATAGGAATGATCCTTATTTTATTTCTTAATAGCATGTTAATAGTCAACAGGTAGATCAACCTTATAGGATTTTTTCAAATGCCATTTGTCATGCTCCCACCAGTGCCTATGAGTTTCAGTAATTTTTCTTGACTCATACCAGTTGCTAAGTAACATGGAAAAGTACAGCTGCAGCTTCACTTCCTTCAAACTGCTGCTCCTAAATATGAATAAAACCATAGACATTCTATTTTTGTGTTCAGAACTCACTGCTTTCAAAGCTTCTGTGTCAGATTCTCTGAAGCATAATGGAGAAGGCAGTAAAATTACAGGCCAAATAAGACTTCTGAAAAATATTTGCTTCATTTTTTTCTCCAGATGCAATAGGATTATTTCTCTTCTACCTCTGAGCTTACATTAGAGTCCTAGAATGGACAAATTGAACTAAGAACTAAGAGTACTCATTGCTTGACCTTGGACAAATTATTAATTTTTCGAGTGTCTGTTTCTTAATCTCTAACATATGAAGCCGTTAAATTCAATGACTTTCTTTTTCTTCCAGCTAAACCTTGCCCAATTCTTTGTTGGATGACTCTTTCCTCTGACCGCCACCAACGCCAAGAATTTGACCTGATAGAAATTAAGTAGAAAAAGAAAAATAAATTATTTTTAATGATTCGAAATTGTAAGCCAATTTCTTTTTGTTATAATCACTTGGTCTTGGTAAATAATTCAAACAGTTTAGAAGGCTTATACCATGAAAAATAAAATCCACCTCCTCAGACTTTTAAAAAACAACCACTTCCTAGGTCCTCACTGCTTGCCCAGGTCCCTAAATAAGCCCTAGGCTTGACCCCTACCTGGAATGCTCCCGCAGCACACCCCAAGGCACAGCCAGCCAACAACAGAGCCTGTTTCATTGTCCCACAACTCCATAAGTACAACTTGGTATCTTTCTTGTAAGTCTTTACCGCTTTAATGTCCCCTGTAGGAGTTCTCTTTGGGCCCACTGCCTGACTAGTCGAGGTAACTCTGGGTGCCCAAGGGAGCTTCAGAAACTGACCCCAACAGAGCTCAGCAACATTCAAGGCCCAACTTCTACGTCACCAGGGAACCTTAGATTTGAACAGAAAGAGAAGGGTGAGTGAAGGTGGCTAGCTCAACATATCCATAGAAATGCAGAGAGGTGGCTTGTAGGTGTTTGGTATTCTCTTCCAGAAGATGCTGGGATGGAGATGCTGTTCCAGCCTTGTTCCCCCATTTCAGGAGTTTAGCACTCTAGCAAGTGAGAATTTCTTTGCTTGTGACTATGAATCTCCCGTTTCAGTTAAAGCCTTTTTTTCTTTTTGGGGGTGTGGGGGGTTGGACCTCAGCGTACAAAGAATTACAACCTGGGCAATGGCTCCATAATGACCCCTCCAAACTTGATGGTGCTAATTAATCCTCTCTTTAGACTCCAATCTGGACGTTAAAACATATGATTGCTGCAGGATCTTCTCCATAAAGAGCTAGAGGGAGAGAAGTTAAGACAAAGTCAGAGATGGTTTAACCCACTGGATCACCAGCTCTGAGCAAAATTAGGAGAAAGGAGGTTTGTTTTTGGTTTTGGCCCCGATTTTGTGTATGGGTGTTGTGGGAGAGGGAGTTGTAATTGTTGCTTTTAAACAAAGAAGGGGGTTTATTAGCATGTATGTTTGAAAGAATAAGTATGAATTCCGGGACTTTCAGACTATCAGGATTGCCCATATCTCATTCGACGTCAGCCTCAGGTTGGCTTATCCTGGTCCAGGTACCCCTGGGGCTAGCACTGAGGGATTGCTGCAGCCACAGTGGAACCACATGGAGGAGGCAGAAGAGGTTTCTCAAAGCAGTGGGGCTGTTATTACCAGGAGAAGGGAGAGGTGCTGGACACACAGAACCATACAGATTTATTATCTCCCCAGATTACAGACAGGGAAAGTGAGGCTCAGCAAGCCCCTGACCCCATGGGCCAAGCCCCATTTGTGCTGCGCTGCTAGCAGAAATTATATCTCGGTTTTAGGGATGGGAAAAACTAGACCCAGGGAGAGGAGACAAATTTGTCTAAGACCATAGCTAGTGAGTGGCTGAACCAGAACTCAGATCCAGAAATCAGGACCCATGGTCTTTTAAATATATTTGGCAATAGCGATCAGTTTGGCAGATTGAAGATAGCTAAGAAATAGTCTTTACTGTTTGCTTAAGGGGTTGGCAATTTAGACATGGTGTTTTCATTTATAGCCCTCAGCAACCATTTACAATGCTTAGTTAGTATTTATATATATTTTTCCCCCACAAATCCATTTCCATCCAGTATTTATTGAGCCTTTCCCAAAACCTTACAAGGGGAGTACTATTTTTCTTTTAGATTATAACACTGTTGGAATTTGATGCATTTTTTTTCAGCTAAAACTTTTTAGTGAAATAAAACACACATATAGTAAAGGGACAAATCTTATGAGCAGAGCTCAATGGTTTTTTGTTTGTTTGTTTTTTACAAATGCTACGTTTCTGTTTTTCAATAACAAGCATTATTAAGGTATTATTCACATATTATGAGACGTTCGATGATTTTTAGTAAGTGCATACGGTTGTGCAAACATCACCTCACTCCAGTCTTAGACTGCTCCCATCGCCCCCAAAAGTTTTCCTTTTTTCAGTCTGTCACTGTTCCCACCTCAGACCCAGGCAAGCACTGATCTGCTTTCTGTCACAGTCTATTTTATGTCTCCGAAATAAAACCGGCTTGAACCCACGATGCCATGATAAAATTGTGAACATCTTGTAGCCTTCTCTTCCTGTGGGAAGAATTGCCCTGTGTGAGGAGCTGTCCTACCTAAGCCTGTCACTCCCTCTCAATAGTGAATGAAATAAAGCATCACAGACTTCGCTAACCAAAAACAGATTTTCAAGGTCCTGCCAAGGAAACCTCAGAAGCCCCTAAATCAGTTAAGGACTTTGAGGTATAATCTCAAGAAAAAATGATTTAACGCAAAAGTAAGCTGTAATTTAATTAACAGTTTTATACAGCAGTGTGCAAAGGGTAGGAATTTGTAGACTGTTTCAGCACTTGACCATGAATATTCTGGGTCCCCTGGCACAGAGTTTCCCAACCTGGGTGTCTTGGATGGGTTGGAGGCGGGGCCAAGGTATTGATTATCTCACCCCTTGGAGCAGCTGGAGCTGCCACCCAGTGGTTTACCCCCAGAGCTTGCAAATATTACCATTTCTTCTCTCTACCAGTTTGTGAAAGATTGGGAAATTGCCCTAAGGAGTGCTGATGGGGGACCCTGAGTTTATAGTTTCATGAGTCAAGCCAGCTCTCGACATCACTCCACTTTTCTAACTTGGATTCTGTGTTCATCACAGCTTCTTCTACAGGTTTTCTCCAGGGTTGAGGATGTGTTGACCAACTATCAGGAGCATTCTAATCCTCCCGGAAATTATTTTCTTCTTGTAAAATAACATAACTTTGGGTTGTATATATGCCTCTTGTGTGTGCATTTTCTTGTGGTAAAATACGCATAACAAAAAAATTACCATTTTAACCATTTTAAGTGTACATTTCCGTGCCATTAAGCACATTTACATTGTTATACAGTAATCACCATTATTTATCTCCAGAATTTTTTCATCGTCCCAAATCGAACCCATTAAATAACTCCTCATTTCTCCTCCCCCTAGCCCTTAGTAACACTATTGTATTTTTTGTCTCCATGAATTTGCCTATTCTAGTTACCTTGTATAAGTGGAATTATATAATATTTGTCATTTTGTGGCTGGTTTATTTCACTTACCATCATGTTTCCAAGGTTCATCCATGTTGCAGCATGTGTCAAAATTTCACTCCCTCTTAAGGCTGGCTGGTGTGCTTTTCATGGAAGTAAGTTCCCTCCTGTCTTGCTACCTCCAGAGACACTTTACACAACGTGCTTCAGGACCGGTAGAGCTGACACAGAGCCCCTGGGCTGGATGACCCTACAAGATACTGCCATCTTCGTCTGAGAAGCTAACTGGGATCCATTCTTTCTGGCTTCTCTAACCACAACACTCTTT